GCATCCTGTATCTCTGACTGGTATTATTATGCATAATGGACTCAACTAGAAGTTACTTTATGCTGAAGATTTCAAATAATATATCCCTTGGAAACATTTTCTTAGCTCCAAAGAACAAGAGAAAAGCACAAGTAATGTATTTGACATTCCCAACTGGGAATCCTGCAAGCACTTGTTTTATTCTTGGTCCTCTAACACAGGTTTCATATAAAAGGATTGTGTTAGGGAAAATGCCCATGAGAGAAAGTGTGGAGGAAACCAGAAAAGGCTAGGAAAACTTTCAAAGTTTGATGCTAGTTTTACTGTGCTTGACAGAGATAGGTTAGGAGCAAGCTACATAGACCATCAAGAACACTGAAGAAAGTTGAGGAAGACCAAAGCAGAATCTAGGAGTCAGCCATCGGAGGAGTCCTGAGACTTTCAGAAATAAACTATTGTATTATCCTTGTCATTTTCATCAATGGCTGGCAGCATCTTCTGGGTACTGTGGCCTCATAGGCTCAGAGAAAACTCAACCACTGATTTCTGAGAATGGCACTAGTGCCCTTGATCAATTACTCCCTGAAGTTGGAGACTTCAAGGGAATATATTCTCATGTTTAACACATACCTCATTCACATCCACCCACTTATTCTAGCCAGTGATTTGTTTTAGAACCTTTAGCTAAAACACATCATCAAGAGCTAAAGACTATTCACTCTGCCTCCTCATATGTCTTTTCTCTTCATGGATTAAGAAACTAATTAAGATAGTAAACATTTTCTGCTTTGAAGGGCAGACAGTCTCTGTTGCTCCTATTTTAATACAAGAGCAGCCACTGATAATGCATATACAAATGGCATGACCATGTTCCAATAAAACTTTATTTACAAAACAGGTGTCCCACAAGATCTGAGCCATGGTATGTTTGCCAACCTTTGCTCTAAACTCACCAAAGTTTACTAGACAATACAATAATGATAATGTTATTAGTTTCACTGCTTGAAGGTTTTCCTTATCCCACTCTTTACTCAACATAGGAAACCTATTTCACCAGTTAAAGCATCTACATAACTGGCTTTCCCCAAACAGAGCAACTTTCTTACTATTGGCTGTGTTTAGATATAGTACCTTAATTTGGCCTGGCTACTGCGACAGGAACTTAAAAATTGAATAAATTTTTTAAAGATTAGGCTCATTCCTAACCATTAAAAGTAAGAATACTGTGAAATTTTACGTGACATCACAGACGGCCTCAGGAAGAAACTGAAATCACTTTTTTTTTTTTTTTTACAGTCCTTCAAAATGAAATGATTAAAAAAGTCTATAAGAGATTTAGTTCCAGGACTTGGACTTAATTATATGGACAGTTTCTCAAAGATATATATTGTATTTGTTTATGCCTATAGCAAATCCAATTTGTTTAAAGAATAAACATATTTATGTGAGTATGAACCATTAAACTAGGGCATAAAGCAACTGAAATATAAAAAAATAAAAAATAGGTCAATTCGGGAGGCCAGTGCAAAAAGAAAGTTAAAGAATGTGGCTCAGGATAAAAAAAAAAACATTATATCTAGCCATAAAACTACAGGATTCTCATCTTAAAAACTGTGTCAAATAAATGAATAAACAGAATGGGGCATTTAAAACAGGACATAATGGTCCCACATATTTTTCTCTGCACTTTCCAATAAGTAAATAAACAAACATTTATTTTTTTCTTATAAACTAGAAGGCCTATAGGCTACTGAAAATAACATAAAATTGAAATCTAAACCTATATTAAAGGAGAGACGCCAACAAAGTTAAATAATTCCCTCTTTAGAACCCTGCCCCAAATGCTGAGTAATTGGAGACACAGGAAACCTGTAATGCACACACATGTAGAAGGTGTATCTAATATGGAAGAACTGATGGAAAGGACCCAGAAATGTTGTTGCCCAGGCCTTACTCTAGGCCACTAACTCTTCTTCCTTCTAGCCAAGGGTGAGAGATGCATTCTATGGGAAGTTGAAACAAAGAATTATAGTCACCGATCCTAGCTTAGGGCAGCAATAATCACCTTATTAAAGGGCAGTCAATTGAGGATGAAAACCATTGTCAACTGCTTCCCCTAAGCTCTCAAAGCAACAACAGGCAGGATTTTATCTTCCAGGTCGAAAATTTGTATATTGTTCCTTGGAGAATCAGGCTACCCAAAATGATTATACAGATATGTATATTTGCAGATCCTTCAAAGAAGTTTGTGTGTACCTGCCCAAAAATCATATAAGGACATCCACTGTTTTAGTCCATTTCTGGCTGCTATAACAAAATGCCATAAACTAAGTGGATTATAAACAGAAATTTATTTTTCACCATTCTGGGAGCTGGATAGCCCAGTACCATCAAATTCCTTATTTGGCGAAGATTCATTTTCTGATTCGTAGATAGTATCATCTCACTGTGTTTTCACGTATATAAGAGGCCAGCTATGACTCTGAGATCTCTTTTGTAAGAATCCTATAATCCTATTCACATGACCTGTGATCTCATATGCTAAAAACCTATTAAAAGCACTACTTCCTAATACCATCACCTTGGATTTCAGTATACAAATTTGGGGGCAGTGAGAGAGGCACAAACATTCAGGTCATAGCTTCCACCAGTCAGAAGCCCTGTCAAGACTTATAAGAGCTTTATTTCAACCTTCGATGTCTTACTGATTAATAGTAACAGACGCCATTAATTACCAAACATTCAAGGAAAAGTTCTAACATGAAAAATATGAGAAGAAATAAACTAGAAAAAAGGAAATTGTAGGGAATAGAATCAATGTAGACTGTCAAAATTGCCAAAATAAGTGGAAGTTAAAGAAATAGTCAGAAGAGCAGAACCAAAAGACAGAAAACAGAAAAATGATGATTTCTTAAATATATCATAAAAGTATGTTTTAGGAAATATAAAACCCAAACATTCTAAAGAAATATATAGTAAATGTAGAAGTATATATCGAGCTACTTATAAATGAAGAGGGCATAAAAAACATCATTTGACAAGTTACTTCCCCAAATTTTCATACCTTATGCTCCCTTTCCAAGACAATTATCAGAAAAAAATGTAAACAACCCAAACAAAAAACCTCAAGTAAAACAAATTTCATGTATGGAGTACTTTTCTTGTGTTTGTATTAAGTCCCTTGGACATTCAGTGCCCACATATCAAATCTAAAAATATTTCTTTGCTCTAAAAATAAGCGAAAGAAAGAAAAACTAATTCTGGGAAAGCCAGAGAACCAGTAAAATTGATAAATAAATGCTTACTCTAAGAAAGCATTAAAAATTACAATCCAATACTGGAATAATATGAAAAATAAGAGTTATCAATAAAATAAGGTCTTATTTCTTTCTTGGTTCTCCTCAAGAATCTGGTTCCAAGATCAGTCATTTGCCAACACAACCTATTTCTATTGTGATTGGCACTCAACACTCAGGTGCCTGGAAATTATTAAAACTAAATGAGTACATAATTGACACTGTACATACTTGGTGGCACATTTTTGGCTCCATAATTTAATTATAGGGTGAGACTGAGCAAAATCTTAAACAAAGAAGCTATTTCAGATTATTGCACATATAGATACCCAATGAATATTTGCTACAAAAAAACATTTACTTTAGATATTATGACTTCTGTAGATTTCCCTGACTTTCCTACTGCCTTGTAGAAGTATTGAAAAAACTGGGACTCTATAGTTTTTATAAATTTATATCTATGTGTGTGTGTGTCCATAAATCCTATGATATTAAAGTAAAATATCTTGTCAAGTTGCCTTAGGAGAAGCATGGTAACTGGAATACTGGAGAAGTTAGCTGAGGAAAGTCATAGATTCTGTACAATCCTCATTTTCTAACTCCTGAGGTATCATGTAATAGTTTTTATATCAGAGAGTCAGCAAATTGTCATTATGAAGCAATTTCAAGCAAACGCTTATTCCAGTTGAAATTGTTTTTGCTTCAGCACAATGGAGAAGAAAATAAACCAGTTTTTTAAAAAGGTAGAACAAAAGTAACTGGTGAAATAAACATAGCAATTAATACTGATGAACATATATAACTGAATTTTTCTGTTGTCTTAGTAATTCTTGAACCGTGTCAGAAAGAGTGGCTGTCAGAAAAAGGGAAAAAGGCTCATAAACTTCACAACTGCAACTTCCACTCACAGCTCCTTTGCTAGTTGCAAGGCTATAACTTAACTGCAAGCAGGGCTGGGAAGTTTGTCCCTATTCCCAGAAACAAGAGGATAAACAGATCTGGTGATCACCAGCTATCTAAACCACAATCTCTTTCCATCTTATCCTTCCTTCCAAACCAGGCAGGGGTCCTAAGCAGAATAGCATGTGCCAGTATCCTGTACATTTCAATGTTGAGGGAAATATGCAGGAAGCTGAATTCTAGGGAGAGATTATTTTAAAGTCTGAACAACTACTAAATAAGTGGTAATTTACTAGAAAGTAGTTCAATGTGGACTTGTAAAAAGATGAACATGTGTAAGTTCTCATCTTCTCTGCCAGAGGTGGAGATATGTCCCAAACAGCAATGCATACATTGAGAATGTCAGTCAAAAGTCTGCACTTAAGAGATATCTTGAGATATCATTTTCTCTGACCACCACTGGAGGCATAACAAATGTTAGAAATGTGCTTTCATTGGCAACATTACTGGCATCCAAATAAATAGGTTGATTAAAATATTCTAGGAAGAGAGAGCTTTCACATTTCCATGAACAAGCTTTGAAAAACTTAAACTATAGTTAAAAATAATTAAATGCAAAAAGCAAAAAAAAAGAAGGCCTCTTGTGGTGGCCATGCTCAATTCAAGAGAATTGATCTTCCTTACTCTATTAGTCCATTCTAATGCTGCTATAAAGACTGTCTGAGACTGGGCAATTTATAAAGGAAAGAGGTTTAATTGACTCACAGTTCTGCAGGCTGGAGAGGCTTCAGGAAACTTACAATCCTGGAAGAAGGGGAAGCAAACACATCCTTCTTCACATGATGGCAGGAAGGAGAAGTGCTGAGAAAAGAGGGAAAATTTCTTATAAAACCATCAAATCTCATGAGAATTCACTCACCAACATGAGAACAGCAACACAGGGGTAACCACCCCCATGATTTAATTACTTCCCATCAGGTCCCTCCCACAACCTGTGGGGAATGTGGGAACTATAATTAAAGATGAGATTTGGGTGGGGACACAGCCAAACCATATCACGTACTCAGCCTATGATTCAAATGCCAATATCTTCAAGAAACACCTTCGCAGACATACCCAGAAATAATTATTCGCCAACAATCTGAGTATCCTTTAACCCAGTTAAGTTGATATCTAAAATTAGCCATCACACTCACCCCATACCCAGTATATCAAACTTCATAAAGACTGCATTGGAAATCAGATATTAGCACCCAAACTGGGTCATAAGAGGGTTGGAAACTTAACAGCTAAAATAAGAAAAAGAGACATTTTCTAATTATAACAGTTTCTTAGACTTTGACACCACTTATGGCTGCACTAAAAACCAAAGAATTATCATTACCTGTCCTTAAAGAGACTTTTTATAATTTAAATATAAATCTTGAAGTGAGTTTTAGAAATATGCTTTTAGTAAAGAAACCCAGCTAGTCATCAGTAATGAATAATTTGTATCATCTGTCAGAATGTTTTCATTGTCCTTAATATCTTAGTTGATTTATTTTTATATCATCCTTTTTGTTGTGCTATTTTATTTTTGATATATTAGACATCTTAAATTGCCCAGTTTGAAGTATTGTTTCTTTTCGACAATGACTTTCTGAGGGAGCTAGATCTATATATTAAAACGTGGGAAATGAAGTGTCTGAGAGAAAATATGCTGGAATAGGCGACTCATGTTTAGGCAGAGGAAGAAAAGTATGAGTCAGGAGGCTAGGCAAATTTTATTAAGTAACTTAAAACTAGGAAATGAAGGTATAACAATATAAAGTATAGCATTGTTCAACATTTAAATATGGAAAAAATGATGTGTTCCAAAATACCTTTTAAAGATAATAGGATGGGCGGCCTAAATACAGGGAGAATTGAAAACAGACAATGCGGTTTTCCTACAATTTCCTTGTCTTTTATCATTGATGATCACAGGAAAAGGTCGTTTTAGAGAACTTCTGGATTTACTATAAAATTTCTGTGAAAGACATCACTTATACCTTTGATTTAATGCTGCTTGAATAAGATCACGTTGCACCTGAAAAGTTACTAAAAGCAAAAATGGTGCTTTTTTTGAATAGCAAACACTGTTTTTTATGAGATAATAAGAATTCTGTAGACTTTCTTACCTCATCAGATGTCTGCTGTTGGCTCTGCTTGCCAGACGTTTAGAGTTTACAGTGTTTAAATTTAGAAATGAGATTAGCCTTTAAGTTGGTAAAAATGTGTTCCTCCCTAACTTGAATTTTGCAATTTCTATTTTAACAGCTTTAGTGCTTAGCTTTTTAGTTATAATTTTTCTTGTGTCATATGAGGAAAGATGTGAACCACAAATAATTAAATATTGATGTATTACTTTTTTAGGCTGCAAGAATCAGACTCACATAAAAGTTGTTTCAGTTGATAAGGATTTATTATCAGAGCATAACAAAAAAGGAGAACATGGCTTTGACTGCCTCAAGTTGAAACTTGAAGGAAGTTCAGGAATATCATTTGGATACAAAACAGTTCTCAAGTTGCAGCAGTATCCTCTGAGGCCAGGGGATGATCTGGCCATCCTTCTGTTTCCTCAGCAGGCAGAGCACATTGCTTCCTGCTCCAGCAACCTTACTTCTGCTGTTCCGGTGACTCAGAAGTCCTGTCTGCTTCCCACTGTAACTGTTCCTTCTGATACACTAAATCTCTTTCTCCATCTCTGTCTCTGGTTCTGTGCAGCTTTCTCTTTGGCATGGCTGCTGCTCAACATCTGTTGCTTGTGTATCTGCCGGCTTTGGGCTCCCTCGTTCACTTGTGCCCCATTTTCCGTGATCACCTCACACAGGCAAGAAGGATCTGAGTGTGGTCCAGTCAGGAGCCAAGATGGTACCATGCTATCACGCAGAACTCATCCATGGCAGCGCCTAGGCCATGGCTATGCCCGTAAACAACGGCCCTACCATTTTCTCTGATTTGCTCTGTTGTGGCCAGGGCGGTGGTGGTGTGTACTAAAAGATTATTGACATCTAAGAGCCCTTCAGTCTTCACTATTCTTAGAATGTCAGAAAATTCAGAATTGTATGTCATCTTCAATTCCCAATAACTGTATTGACACTTGATGTAAGGAGAAAAATAAACGGTGTTTTCATAGTTTATTTTAAAAGAGCTGGATATATTATTTTTGTATCATAATTGCTACACTGTAGTATATTTCTATTTATTTTATATATTTTTATATCAAGTTGCATTTTCATTTTTTAACGTTTTAAGATAAATATGAATAGTTCTATGTGCAAATTTCCCAGAGCGGTATAGTTTTATAAGAGGATACTTAAATTAACTAATAAAACATTAATATAATAAAAATTGATTCCAAAACATGTAAAAATTAATTTTGCTTAAGTAGCAATGTTTAAGAGTGAACATTTACTTTATGAATATATTTAATTATTCAAATTATTAAATATATAAATATATATTAACTTATATACAATATACATATACTTCATATATAAAAATATAGAAGTAAATATTAAGTAAATATATTTATAATAATTTACTTTATTATTCAAATTTTTATTTGTCTGACAGAGAGGACAAATCTTGCCATTACGTCATACTCTATTATAGGGGTGGAACTCATGTGCTATGAAAGTATTATGTAATTGGTGTTTGTCAAAAGCGTATTCAAGCATCTTTTGTGAATGTTCAGTTTTCTCTGAAGGAAAATCTCCTATAAAATATATAGTACACTAATACACTTTACAATATTGTAAAAAATGACGTTTCTCCAAAATCTGTTTATAAACGCTACTATCCAAAGAGCTCAAATGTACATTTAAAAAGAAATGACACTTGGAGAAATAAACGTGTGTATGTTTATGTGTGTATGTGTGTCATAACCCTCTCTATCACCATCATTTTTCAGTGTTTCCAAATAAATTACCCAGAATTAAACCAATAAGCCTTTTTAAGACAAACTTTTCTGAGCTTTTCTTCTCTAACCTATACCTATCATTTTCTCTCACCATTTCAGGCACTACCTTCTGGACTATCAGGGATTTTCTTCTTTGCTATAAGTCATTTATTATCATAGTTATGGTCATATAACCCCAAGTTTCAGATTCATTTCTAATACAGATTCTTCAATCTGTTGTGTCCCTTACTAGAGATCACTTAAAGATCTCAAGTTGCTCAGTGTCATATCCATATTGCTTATTCCTTAACTTTTTTCTTTACTGTAAATCAATAAGGTTACTAGCCTTTTCATTACCAGCAGTCAAAACTTTTAGTTTCTTCCTTGCCCTCCTTTGCCTGTTTCCAGATTTTAAATAGCAACTTCAAGATCCCTTGTTTATTTGGAACTGTGTGCTAATGCATGCTGACTCGTTCCCTATTTAAATCAGAGTTTTGAAAACTGTCCTAAGATCTATACTTTCCTGATCTTATCTACTGAGCAGTACTTCTGAATATGCATTATCTGCTTACAGAATAGAATTTCCTGTCAAATAGTATTCTGTTTCATCATCTATCCTTCCCTGAAATGATAAATACTTGTTTATATTCTTTTCTGGTCTCTTTTACCTTCTCTTTAGATTAGCTCCTTTTTGTTAGCTGAGATTATTCCATATAGAACCTGCGTCACTTCAACATTACTTGAGTTTTGGTTTAATTAAATCATGTAAGAATTTTAATAATAGGTTGCTAAGGTAGGTGCCCTCTATTTTAATAGGTATTGTTGGCGGTCTACACACAAAATATTCAGTCACTTTTCTTGATAATAACTAGCATAGTTCCTTAGATCCATAGATCAATGAATGTTCATATCTCTATCACAATCATAAATTTAAATTAGTCTAAATCAAGTCATTCTCAGTGCTTTGGTAAATGATGAATTTGGAATAATTTGTTGACACATTTTTGGCCAAATAAATGTGTGGAGATGTTTGTGGAGCTAGAGGTTTGGGGTACAATGTGTGGTTACCTAACACAAAACAGACAAAAATAAGTTACATTGTCTTTTTTCTGGATGTGGTCACAGTTGATTGTAATATCTAAAATTACAATCTTTGTCTACTGATGATTGGAAGGATGACCAAAGATGGATACCAACTAACTGAGAAAGAAGATGGGAAAGGAAGGTATAACCTGGGGAGGAAGAAGCTGAAACTAAACGTAAATAAAAAATAGAGACATGATTTTAAAGACACACTCTAGTAATCAAAAACCCTAGACAAATTATTTATGAAAAGAAATGTTATGGAATATCTCAGGGTTTCTAATTATTTTATCTGCTATTTAGAAACAATAAACAAAATTCAGCATTAATACATGCATTAAAACTGAGGTCGGTTGATCTTAGTTCTTTTCCATTTTAACATCTAAAATGTACTGCTACTCCCTGATTCTAAAATTATACTATACTGTTGTATGGAAAAAAAACCTCTAAAATTATTTATGTAATAACCAGCTGTGGAATTTTCCTGCACGTTTTAGATTTAACAGAAGCCCCTTTATACAAAATAATTGGGAATAATTCTTGCTTGGTTAATCAATACCATTTATCAAGGTGAGAATTATAAAACATCACATAAATATGAAATATTTTAATTGAACATAAAGAGCAATTTGACAATCATTTAATCCAGGGCTCTAATATTTTCTTTTTCTCTGATTATGATAATCTGCACTATTAAATATATTGTCTACAATATTCAGTTTCAATTTCCTTCATTAGCAGTAAGAATGTAATGTTATCCTCCTAAATATTACATTCTCACCTATCCCAATTTTGACTTGGTTCATAGCTAATAAACTAATTTGTTGATACTGTTCTTAAAACTACTTGCCTTATC